TGAGCTTCTGACCTTTTCATTTTAGGTGCAAGATTTCAACACCCACGCTGCATATGAAAAATCCCGTCATATATCTACTTAAACGAAAAGCACAACACTCACACTAACCCCCTTTGTTCACATGGGATGGTTCGCCTTATAGCGGTTGCCAAGCTCGAGTCTCTGTTACCAAGGACTCGGCCTCCGAATAAACAAATCGCAATCACTTGTCAATCTCTTGTTACACAGCTGCGGAGCTATTTGTCATAGTCGATATCAGTGTCAACAGCTGAACAAGTCCTTGGCATACAACCTTCTAACAGGGAAATTAATGGCCGTAATCCTCGTGAACCGACGATTTGTTGCCAAGGTCACGTCCTTTAGGCAGGTCCCACGGGTTGTCTGACCTTCAGTATTGATATAAGTACATGCATCATTCGATGACGGAGGCCACTCTGCCACACTTCACATGAAGGACGCCTGTTAACGCCTCATGTTACATCAGCGTAGTGCCTGGTCAAGTTGCAAGGACTTTTATGATTTATGACTACGAGAAAGGTAAACTACGCACCGCGTAGTTCGACCGTACTTAAATAACGTTTGAGACGTCATGGAACTTACTTCGTTTACGGTACATACTTGGTTTACGGATTTAAGACTCACTTTATTAAGATTAAACGTTTATGAAAACTATTTAGCTTTGCGATGAGTACGGAACGTGATATTTTAGAATGTTGATGTTACATCCCACACGTTTGGCTGTAAGCCTGCAGGGTAAGGGATGAGTACGTGGGCTGAGCACCCACTAGAGCCACTATCTAAATTGAGTGTCTACATTTTCATACTGTGAAAATTGAGTACTATAAAAGTTTTTCCCTATTCATTACCGTGGGCGTCGTGGGAAAATGTTCTTGAGATAAACAAATCAATTGTAAATATCAACAGTTTTGAATGTAAAGTTGTCTATTGTGCAAATACTAAGTGCCCTACATTCGTAACACTTAGCGAAATCTGAAATATTTAATATTGTGCAGAAAATAAAATAAATAACTACGTACCATATTAATGACGAAAATAATTGATGTAACGTAGACATATCATTACAGAAAACGACTTCGAGCAAGTCTCCACTCACAACTGGAGCAATAAATGACATGCAAAAATTCTGTGAACACAATTAGCACTGTGCCGTTAATAAAATAAATACGACATTGTAAATATTGGAGGCCTTCAATGTGGGCGAATACAAAGCTACGGTACTCATATCAATTTTCCATACCGTTCGACTGTAAACAGCGCAACGAAACACCCGCCTACGCAATTCAGTTTTTTGATATAACTCAACAAAGTAAAAATACATTGTTTTTATTAGGAAACCTTATCGTGGTGGTACTACAACAACTCACGCGACTAGCAACTAGCTTTGTATTATGTACATACATAGATCGCTCACGTTTTATTAGTATTCTGTGGTTTTATCACAGCTTTGTATTTAGATTATTATTTATTATGTAAACTTAATATTCTATTTTTGGTAGTTATCATTTTAATATAGAGTGGTGTTGCCATGCATTAGTGGGTTCCGAATTAATACGGTACTTCTATATATTACACACAGATCAAAGAATCGACTTTAAATAAACTTAATAGAGACTGAATGTGTATCCCAATTATTTTTATATAATAAAATACAAACTTGTTGAAATTATTTATGTAACACGGAAAGTTAATTTAAAACTTGATATTTCTTCTGGCACCGCGGCGCGACTGAACGGTATTATTTGGCGCCAAACGTAAATAAAACGCCGATGCTGTCGCCACCGGCGCATTAATCTGCGTGGCGTATCAAAAATTCAAGAATCCACGTTTTGCCACCGCGTGGGCTCTTATTTTTTCACGTGGTGATGCATTTTCTTTTGATACTATAATTAATGTGTTTTCATTCATAAAACAATATCTGTTTAAAAACCTTTTTGCGTCATCAAAACCTACGTATAATTTTTTTGCGCTAAAATAACAACTACTCACGTTAATGCTTTCGAGCTTACTCATATACGTTTACGAAACAATGAAAGCACAGTTCAAAATAAACCAAAAAATAGCACATATCACCGTAAAATAATTCCGTAAACAAATCGGATTCGTAAATATAAGATTTTTTAAATTGAAATTGTGTCACAAGTTTAACAATGTTGTTTTAATGGCAGAAATAAGTTACATAAGCTAGAGGAAAACGACATTGTAAACAAGAGTAAGCTTAAACATGGAGGCTTAGCCGCGATCCTTGATTACAGTACGTGTCCAATAATTCAACCACGCCGACGTTTATGTTCCGCTGTAAAAGAGATGCAAGATACCACGAACGTTCTAAAGTAGCCCTACTTAATAATGGAAAAATAATTTCAAGTGTAAGTATTTCATTAAGTGGTTGTTGATTACACTCAATGATACGTGGCACGTCACTACGCGATGTTTACGATACATAGACCACTGACGTTAGCAACACCTGCTCATACAACACTAAACCTAGATCGCTAGCAACATTTTACAACGCAAGTGTAAAAATTACAATGTACATTTTTAAATCCGAAAGTAGCCGAACAGAAATAAACTTGGATCCAAATACTGCAGCTTTGTTGCCAAATTGTAAATAAGACGCTGTGTGATTTTTTTTCTTCTTAATACAAATTTATTTTTTATAAACAAAGAACGCTTATCATAAGATAAAAGCGATTAATTTATGTAACAAAAAAATGGTCGTATGTTTTTGTTTTCATTCCGTTCCGTTGTCAACAGACTGATGTGTTTGAATGGGCATCACGGTATTCTAGGGTTATTCAACCAGTCGGTGGGCAGCAGCTGACGCATAGCGGCGTGCCCGGTCTATAAATATTTCAGAGCATATCTACATGTCGTACTAATGGCATTTTTGTGCGCAGTACGTTTTCGTCCTTCCTGGGTTCAAGCAAATAAAAGGCTTGTGTTTGCGCCGCACTGCTACCTAATCAAGAGCTTGTATTTTTTCTCAAGGTCAATAAATAAAACGGAGTTCGACGTAGATTTCGCAATTTGTATTGTGTATTTATTTACCAACCTTTCTTTTATTTCGGCAGTTGGGACTTGAGGTGGCGCTCCACAAGTCCGAGGCCATGTGTTTTCATGGCCGCGGGAACGCGCCACCTCCGGGTGGGTCCCAAATAATGGCGGGAGGGGTTACCATCGGCGTCGAGACGACGATGAAGTACCTGGGACTCGTCCTCGACAGTCGGTGGAACTTCGTGGAGCACTTCCGACGTTTGGCTCCAAAGTTGGCGAGGGCGGGGGCTGCGTTTAAACGCATCCTCCCCAACCTCGGGGGGCCAAACGCCTCCTGCCGGAGGTTATACGCCGGGGTCGTGCGGTCCATGGCCCTCTACGGCGCCCCTGTTTGGGCGCCTAACCTGTTGCGGCGTCCCGCTCGGACGCTGCTCATGGCACAGAGGGTCATGGCGATCCGAATGATCCGCGGATACCGCACGATCTCTGGGGAGTCGGCGAACCTCCTTGCCGGATTACCGCCGTGGGATCTGGAGGCGAAGGTGCTCGCGCGCGTGCACAGCATGCGCGCGGAGGCACGTCGCCGGGGCGAAACTCCGCTGCCGCGCCAGATAAGTGCGTGGCGGGATGAGCTCCGGCGCGATCTCATGGCGGAATGGCAGCAACGACTGTCGCAACCGAGGGCTGGGCTCGCTGCCATCGCAGCGGTAAGTCCCCTCTTTGAGGAGTGGCTTGAGAGACGCTACGGCGTCCTCACCTACCGCCTGACGCAGGTCCTCACCGGACATGGAAGTTTCGGGAGGTACCTGTGTCTGATGGGGCGGGAGGAAACGCCCGGGTGTCATCACTGCGAGGACCGCCCTGAGGACACGGTGGAACACACGGTGGGAGAATGCCCTTCGTGGGCTGAGCACCGCCGTGTCCTCAGGGAAGTGATCGGCGATGGCGACCTCTCGCGTCCGGGCCTAGTGCAGGCCATGATGCGGAGCGAGGGGGATTGGGATGCCGTCTCCTCCTTTTGCGAAGCAGTCATGCTAGCTAAGGAGGAGGCGGGACGCGTGAGGCAGCGAAGCGCTGCCTCCTCGCAACCCAGCCATCGCGAAGGACACACCGGGCGTCGGGGATCGCGGGACGATCTCCGGCCACCGTAAGCGCGGGCCTGCGGACGGCGAGCATGGGTGGCTCCCCGTCCGACCAGAAACAGACCCGAGCGTACGGCGCGTCGCGTTCCGCGCGCGCCTCAAAGAGCCATCAGACCACCACAGATGGGGCCCAATAGGGCCGATGCCGATTCGGAGTCGCGGAGAACCTAACGGGTAACCGGGGCTCCGGCTCGACGTGCAGGAGAAGGAACGGGGTGGTTTTTAGTCAGTAAGAGTCTGACACTCCCTCCCGCCTCACCCAGGCGGGGGCAGTCATTCGATGATTTTCCCCCCTTAAAAAAAAAAAAAAAAAAAAAAAAACCTTTCTTTTATTTGCGTCGAAACGAATCTTTGGCAGATATTTGAAACCAGTGTTGTGTAATAAAGTTGTCCAGAACAATGTTTCCTGCCATTTTTCAAATGTCAGTAGCGGTTTGAGTAATTGACGGCAGTAATTTTAAAAGAATACTTTTGTAAATCTTGTGCGAAATCTAATCTTATCTTAAACAAGTGTTGGGTAGTGACGTGCTTTGTCGGTCATTAGCTAACGGACGTCATAGAAAGCCGTCGGTAATGAATGAAACTGAAGCTCGCCAACTAACCACCGCGCCGCCCCGTGAACTTATCTCGCTGTGATTCAGCGCTGGTAGCGACTCAAATGATCATTAGCTCCAATTTACTAGAAAGGGTTACTTGGCAGACGTAATAACAACGTTGATGGTTTACGAACAAATACTATTTACTTTTCGAAGAACTTTCTTCTGAGAAACGGTTGCGCAATTCTGGTGTCCATGTGTTTATTGTTGGTTTACTTTTATTAATTTTTTTGTTTTATTGTTGCAGATAAAACGTAAATCCCCAAGCATGAAGGACGAGCGTGCCAGTATGCCGCGTGTACGCATCGCTGTCATTGGCAGCTCTCGAGTTGGCAAGTCCGGTGAGTAAATAAATATATCAAGAAACTACTTCTTCATACTTCAAAACGAGAAAAATATATTTGTGGCTAAGAAAATTATTTCCAAGTTGAAAGTGTTTCGGAAAATTCCTTATCATCTAATTTAATTCTTGCGACCCAGTTATTTGAGAGGCGCTGTCATCCTTTGATGGATTTTGTATCCTCAAGATCATAATTTCGATATTTTCCCCGATCCTGGGTTAACTTAATACTGTTATCATACTCAATTTGAAATAGACACCGTATTCTTATATGGTCGTCTTCACAGCCAATAATATAATAAAATTGAAGAATACACACAAATTCTCAGTTTGAAATACTCGAAATTTAACAATAGCTAGTAAGCCCTCAACTGAGACTAAAAACATAATAACGAAAGTGCATAATTTGGTGTTCAGAATCCATAAAATACAACTTTATGCTTTCATATAAATGAACTATAAAGAATATTTAATTAACAAAATGAAAATACATCTAAAAGCATTTGGAACAATAAACAGTGCGTCTATTAGTGTACCTTGACCGCTTAGTCGGGCCTATGACCTAATACGTGTTACATAAAGCTAGGCCAACAGCCCACTGACCTATTCTCCTTTATGATATAACATACTGTTTACAATACATCAGCATGTCACTATACATAGTGAACAATTAGGTACACTTATATTGCAAACCCTCTATTCTTTGAGATCAGACAAAAAGCGATAGAACACGTACAAATACTAGATTGTGTCCTAATTTCTATAAATAGGAGACTAGTCAATATCATTCGATTAAACACTAATCTAGGTCTGAATTGCTTGAGATTAATGTACTAGAACTATGGATACATTGTGAGAATCGAAACTTTAGTTAATATTGTCTGTTATTCATGAAAGCTTCGCAAAATAAGCTAGAACATAAATAAATAAATACACAATAAAACGAAATATTTATTTGAAACTGTAACATCTAAAATTCACGCAAACAGTTATTTAGTTTAATATATCTGTAAATCAGAAAAATAATTATGTTTTCCTTGTTACAGCTCTCATCGTTCGCTATTTAACCAGGCGATACATCGGCGAGTATCATTCAAACACGGGTTGGTACCGACAGTTTACTACTACTACGAGAACATTGCGTAGGTTTTATCCTTCGATATGCTTACATTATATCTTCCTTTCAGATCTCCTGTATAGACAAACGGTACCGATCAATGGTACCCCCGTCGAACTCGAAGTTATAGATGTATCCGGCTCCAATTCAGATAAATTTCCAGCTGAACAGGTAAATAAATAACTTATCACCGTACTTTATATCACTTCAAATCTCAAAATTAAAAATAAATATTATATTCTATGGGCTATTTACTCTACCTCTATCTACGTAGGTTTTGACCCTCCTCCACATTAAATCTAGTATAATTTTATGGTTGAGCATTACACCATCATAAACTTTAACCTTCATCCATGCATTCAGTTTATAAGGTACCTTAAAATAACACTTTGATTTTAAACAACTGATGGTATGAATAGGTTAATACCCCGGGACCTTGCCCATAGCCCACAAATCTTCACCTTCACGGAATTAAAGTATAACCTAAACACAGACCGACCTTTGGTTTCCAAACAATAACAAATATACAAATCTATGAGATTAGGGAGCATTTCGAAAGAAGGCTACAGCATTGTAGTTGATTTATTCTGGATTCCAGTACAATTTTAGCATGTTTGTTGTATTCTATTACCATCCATAATAACGCCACTCGAGATTACGATAAGATAACTGTCCAAATTAGTAGGAATACATGTACATAAACTATGTTAGCATGTATGTATGTAACTTTATCAGAGTGTTCTTCAATGGAGGATAAAACAAAATAATATTCTACGGTAATTTGAAGCTAATAACGAGAAAATTAGATACAGAACATCAAAGTACTATCTTGGTAGATACCCTTCCGTACACAAAACGTGATCACTGATGGTCTGGAGCCGCTTTATGTTCCAACAACTGGGTTAATGTTCTAAATAATAGCAGGAATGGAACCGCACCAGAAGCGGTACTGGTGACCTGCGCGAAACACCGGGATGACTCATCATGTTTACATATTACACACTACAGTTTGCCAATCAACTTTCAATTAACTTTTAAACTAGTTACTTCTGATTGTCAGACATTTTTAGAATGCGAACGACGACCGAAGTATTTTGGATCTCCTTCTGAAGTTTACACAAATATTATTCTAGACATCCTTAAAATAGTTGCGTTGTTGAAAAGCAAGTCTTGGGTAAATAGCAAGATATTTAGCAAATTGTTGAATTAGTTTTGACAGTGGATACTGTGGGTAGAATGTGAATGGACAGGATTAGGACAGTCGTGTAGGAGGATGAGGGATAACGTTTCGACCAAACATATTGGTAATTAATGAATTATTCCTAATTGTCGGGAACATAAAACATTAATGATAATAGGAAGAGTTAACAACTTCAGATATAAAAAACTTACTTAAACTGTCAAACACCAAGCGGTCACCGGTGACCGCAACCTATTGTTCTATAATTGTGTCTATAATGACGGTACTCGACGAGTTAAGTGAAAGTCCAGTTCTAATTAAATATTGATTACTTTGACTAGACAGAACCAGGCATTAGGCTTACGCGTCTGTGTAGAGATTTCATCATACAGTGCGATATCGAGGAATATCAATACATGTGTCGACAACAATAAGTGCCGCGTTAGCGCGCAACGTGGGTCGTATGTCCCGAGCGACGCGCCGCGTGGGAGCGCCCGTGAATCGCTGCAAGGCTAATTTTAAGCCGGAATGTTGGCTCCGAAGACGCATTAATTAAACACATTCTTCTTCGTCTAGTCTCTTTGCAACAAAGCTATATATTAAATTGTTTGATGAAGACTTAAAAAACGTTTTGCCAAAGTAAACAGCTTTGTTCTGTTAGATTTTGTCTAAACTTCACTCCAAAAAATATTTTATGTTCACCTTTTTAACCTTCTCGTGACGCACTTTCACTAGCTATAATTAAAAGTAGTTTTTTTCTGAGTCAAAATATTATCGTCTATTACGTTAAAGTAGGGCAAAAATTAGAACTAGTGACTCTGTAGAGGTAATAACGTTTAATTAGCTATCAACCATCAATAACAACGAAGTACTAACCCACTTGTGTAAGTACCCGTAACTAATGACTCTAAATTATATCGATTTGTTAGACCTCTTTAAATAAATCTTCAAATAAAACGTAGTACACGACATAGATAAAAGCTTTCTACAGCACTTCCACATACCTACCTACTTCCGTCATTTAACATTTGTTCTTATCTTGTCAACTAATTTTAACAGGTTCTTGGCACTTTTTGATGTTTATGTTATTCGTTGTTCTAGATTCAATGGGCCGATGCTTGTCTGCTGGTGTACGCAGTGACAGACCGCAGCAGCTTTGAGTATGCGACGGAGGTGTTGAGTGCTCTAAAGCGGCCCCCGACGGGCGGCAGTCCGGCTCACGGGCCGGCCGGCGCCGCGGCGCCCATGCCACTCGCACTCCTCGGCAACAAAACAGACCTAGACCACTTGAGACAGGTCAGTATCTAATAAATAACACATTAATTCGTTTCGTACAAACATTTACGATATGTTACGACGCTAAATTCTCATTTGTACACGGTTACGTCTACTAATTAATTTCACTCGAGAAAAAACTATCACACATGTCATAGGTTACGAAAGCTAGAATTTATGTGAATAAAACTGCGCACTTATTCATGTCGTTGACGTACGCACTTGAATTGCGACGGGATGATAAAAATATAGCACGTTTAAATAATAATTATGAGTACGAAAAATCATAAATATCCACTCAAATGGTAGGGATCTAAAGAAGTTGGAGCAGGAAATCGCAGCTAATAAATCGAGCACTTACGATTCCAGTACAGACGTACTGAAAAATATACATTCGTGAATACGAGTTTAATGTAAAGAGAGAACCCGAAGACGTTTGATTTTGCACATATTGTCGTAAATCCGTTTGTTTATTTTATAAACGCGGAATAAACAAAAGCTCGGGTAACATCAATTTACTTAGAACAGAAAACGTGTCTCTCAGCCCGTTTTGCGCAACGCCCGATATTTCTAAATCTCGGAATTGTCCTTCACCTTTCAACAAGACGTCTGCTGATATGTAAGATCAGTGTCACGATTACATAATACAGTACATTAATAGACTGGATGATTGACACGTTTCCTTTATCTTTGTTTAGAAAATCTAGATTTGGATCGCAACCATGACAAAGTTAGCTACAGATTCAGGGGCAAACAATTCAGATGTGCATAATGTTTCACATAACGTAACGCCTACTTTTTCCTGAACGGGTGGTACAATGCCACATTTCCACTACCAAAAATTCAGAGAGAAGTCAGAAACGTAACTTACTTACAATGTGATGACATCGTGCTTTAGTTTTGTAATATATTTAGTCGAAGTTAGTTGACTTTCTCCATGTTACATTTTGATATATCCAAGACTAAAACCACTCGATATCAACACGACAGCGTGTATTATGAAGTTTTGACAGCGTTGACAGTTCAACAAAGCCAAGAGCCTGTCTTGTATCACTATTGACTTGTTTGAGCTCGATATCAATGGAAAATATGTCACGGTGGCGAGAGACGGGTTTTGTCATGCGTATAATAGACGGACACTATAGTACTATGTATGTAACAGTGACTAGTTTCAGTAAATACGAATGTACATACATACCTACCTACACACCTGTCTATGTAGGGGGATTGATAACTAAGTTAGTTTGCGTGGGCGTGGCGCAGGCTCCAGTATTCTAGAATTCTCCGAACGTAGTGAGTGATGGCGCAGTTAGTAGAGAATAACTATTGCAGTTTGTCTTACTCAAATAATTTACAAAGAGATCGTCTTATAAATTTTGTTTATCTTTTTTCTTAACAATGGCAAAGTTGACAATAATTTTAAGAAAGTTTCGAGTCTAAAGCTTTGTCTTTATAAACAACATTTTAAAATAAAAATAAGTTTTTATTAGACATTTTTATTAATAAACCTTTTAAGTTTTGGACGTAGTTAACCTACTTTTATAACGAACGGAGCTGAGTACAAGCTGAAACTTTTATCAACAACAACAAACAAAAAATAGAAGCAAATTACATAATAACAAAATTTAAACGAAAGCCTTAGCTGTTTTACTCAAAGTACTAAAATTACGTACAGAACCTGACCTTGTTTGATATTGTTTACAGAATTTAAGCAATCTACACAGCTTTTGTTGGATTTATTTTGTATTAATTATTAAGTAACAACATCCCGAGAGTATCCGATTTTCCGTTTTTGTCGCTAGGAGCGTTAATAAGGAGTAGATAAAAATAACTTGATAATTACACCTACATATTGAGGAGTTTGGATTAAGTTTAAGATTTTTTTTTGTGTACCTGATCAAATATTTAATAGTGTTTTGTATTGTCTACAGGTTACTACTAAAGAGGGTCAAGCAATTAGTGCGGCGCATGGCGCTTCATTCAGTGAGGCTAGTGTTGCCGATAACTCTGGCGACCTCTACCGTTGCGTGGATCGCCTACTAGCTGAAGTGCGCACACCACAGCGCACGCGCAAGTTCTCCGTCACGAAAATGCTTGGATCGTTAATAGGTAAATATCCATTTCCGTTCGATCAAACGATAAGTTGAATATTTCTCTCGTCAATTAAATATTGCTATGGATCCGATGATGGCAGATTTATACAAATTAAAATAATAAATATTTGCAAATTCTTTGAATATGTGATGTAATGTACAAGAATTAATTTTGATGTTTTCTTGTTACAGGTGGTGGTGGCAATAGCCAGACCAACCGCAGCGGTTCAATGGTCGCGTGCCCGCGTGTGCCCGCCCCGGCGCGGCCGCCGCTGGCCGCTGCTGCTCCCTGACCGGCGGCCGCGCCTGCGCATCGCGCACGCTGATGCCTTGCCGGCGCCGGTGCAGTTTGGTTCGCCTGCCTGCCCGTGCCCGCTCGTTTCGCGCACCCCGCGCCTCTGTCCGCCACCATCATATAAGCCGCAGTGACGAGGACGAGGTGTTGCGAACTACTTGTGCTGATCTAGTGTGGAGCTCGTGGACTTTTCACCAAAGACCAGATACTAGTCAATGTAATTGTAGTGTGCATGTAACTCGTGCACCGTGAGCTTCTTTTAATGTATGCTTGTATGGCATTGTGTTGAAACATCAAGTGAATCAGTTTTATGAATTATTGATGTTTAGGTAATTTTGACAATAATTGCGTAATATTGGCACGATGACGTGTTTCTACTCAGGTATTGAGGTGCCAAAGATCTGCTAATATTAATTGATTGGTGAAAGTATTACTTACATAAAACTAAGAATTATGACATGTTATTAACTCAGTAATTAAATACTCATTTGCATAATTTATGACTAAATGTAATCAATGAATCCATATAATGTCTGTTGCATGTTGATGTTTAAAAGTATCTATAGAGATTATGAATCAGAGTATACATAATAATATTATCGTATAATGTGTTCTATTGGTAACTATCACATCTTCAGCGTAAGGTGGCTGACTATCACTGTACCACGTATACTATGTGTACCTTTCTATGCGTTAGTATATCAATTTGATATGGCCTAAAATTTTCTACTTTTTCACAGTATTATTAAAATAAGTCTTGTATAGGCTAGGACACCTTTTACGAAACCTATTTCACCGTGAGTTAACACGTGTAAATGTTAATTTAGGCCTACATTCTTTCAAGAATTTCACTTATGGTTCAACCACGACATACATTTATAGCATCTGGTCGATGATAATTTGCATATGCACGATCTCTGCGTAATTTTCGTATGATAAATAGATATATAACTTAAAGTTCATTGAAATAGTGTTCGGAACCATAAGTGAAATTCTGTAACATAATAACGAGTTTATAAATGTTTTGGAGTCACAATTATATGTATACATTTATTAAAGTAGACCAATTGTACAGTTTCCCTTCAGGCCTAAAGAGTGGTGAATTGAGGAAATATATCACATTTTAAAATTCAGATAACTGTTGTTAATAGATTCTATGTAAAAATCTATATAAATTCTATTATAACTTCACATTATACGAAAAGTGTTGAATGTTTAGCATTGTTATGCTATGTATGTATAACATATTTCTATACAAATATTATTTGTATTAATATTTAGTCATCTTCTAGTCATAGATTAACGGCTGTGAAAAGACATTTTGAATGTTTGGCTGGAGTGATAAGAGACGGTCTGAATAAACAATGTAAATGTATATTGCAAGACAAAATGTCTACGTGTATTCTGTCATATGGGATGTAGTAATAATGGATAGTATGGTAGGACTTGTATATATTGCGAAGCAAAGATTTGGCTGGTGTGATATCGTCGTAAGTTATTGTAAGGACGCCGCACTCAAAAACTAATTAGCAGTGTTTAACGAATCAATACTAAACTTTAAAGATGTCATAATTATGACGTCATTGTAAATTTCAAATTGTAAATTAAAGAAAAATAAATGTGCGGCGGGGAAAAGTAACGTGAATGCCTTACCTTGATTTGCAAAATTTACTAAGGCTAGGAACGAAGTAGGTTGTAGCGCTACGCATTTGCTACGACTGCTACGCCGTAGTTCTTGAACCTTTGCTACGAAGTTTCGTAGTTCCATCTTAAATGCTTCAACCAAGTTCGTTCCAAGTCTTATTGTTAAAGTATTAACTATTCCATAAAATTATATTGATGAGAACAGAATTGAGGAATGTAAATATGTATTGTACATTGTTAAGGGGACTAAAACGTCGGAACTGATTGGAATAAGTTGTAAATATTTTTAATTGATTAGCTTTAATAATATTAAACGTTTACAATAATTATTTCACTTTTTTATTTTATTTTATATCCTGTGCTGATGCACGTTAAGTTTACCTCGTTTCCTTCTGATAAAGATTTCCACTATTATACTACCTCTATAAGTACACTACAAAAATACACTATCCGATAGTGGCTATCATATATATAACATTACTTCTAATTAATCATAAATGAATCCGTTTAATACACACCAATTACTTATAAGATTTTAATTCTGAATTCTCATAGAGAGGGAGAGAGAGACAAAACTCGTAGTCAGTTTTTGAAACTCGTTGTCTTTGTCTAGTAGCTGGATTGGACAAATAATATTTACAGGCATACTTCACGATTATATAACAAGAAAAAATATGATAACAGCAAAGAATTATGATTTCTTATGTTTTGCATTTTTTGCACACTACTTTTTATTTCAGCCACACCCACCGAGAATAATTCTTGCTATCATAATATCATTGGATTAGTAGTGAAAAAAAGAGCATTTAACCCAATTTCCTTCAGTATATATCACCCTGTTAAATAAATATCACAAATCACTGAAAACACACACATCCGACAATTCTCACAAAGCGTGGGCCATCTTTAAAAGAATGGCATTCCATGCAATTTTTTTGAGACTATCTTCAAAATAATTCCGAAATTATAAATCAAAAAAACTATCAAGGTCATGGAACTATTTCAAGTGACCTATAATTGCAATTTAAAAATAAACTTCGCAACACAAATCAAAGCTATTCGAGTTAATGAGATCATTGATTGGCACAGAAAATAAACCATTAGCTGTTAGTTGTTAATAAAATAAAGAGGATTTACTTGTAAACTGTAAAATTTGGGTAAGCAGTGTCAGTAAGTCAGTAGTTTTCCATGATTCATAGGAAACCAGGCTCGTTAAAATAATTTGTAACTCATTTCCGACTACAATAGAAATGGTGACTAATTACATTGCTTTTGCGTCGAAAGAATTAATAAAGAAGAAAGAAACAGAGAAATACCGTTTATGACGAGATATTTTAATCAGAACAAAAAATAAAGGCAAAAATCTTGTTCTTTTGTTTTAAATAAAAGTTGGATTGGAGGATTTTCTCCTGTGTCGTGGGTGCGTTTACAAACATACAAGTTCACATACACATAACACCCAGACCCGGAACAACAATTTGTGGATAACAGAAAGAGTTGCTCCGTGCGGGAATCGAACCCGTGACACGTTGCGTGGCAGCCGATTATCCAGCCCCCGCACTAACTGTGTTGTCATAGACAGTAGATATCTACTCATACTCAAATTTTAATTCTACAAAAATATAGGGAAAGGTGTTCTTATCAAGTAAAGCATAAATTTTTTGTCAGTTGCGTTATGATAGTAGCTCATTGACCGAGTGGTCGCAAGTACGACTGCCGGGCAAGGGGTCTCGGGTTTGATTCCCGGGTCGGTCAAAGTATTACTGGGTTTTTTAAAAGTCTCAGTAGTAGAACGGAGTCTGGAAATTTGCTCAGTATATGGCAATAGGCTCACCCCCTACTACATGGGACTCATAACATAAATAGCGAAAAGTGGGTGTTACATTGTACAGTGGCATTAAGTGCCGTAATGTGTACCTCTGCCTACACCTTGGGATAAAAAGGCGTGATGTTATGTTATGTTATGATATAGTACCAGGCTCTACACTTATTCATGTCCATTAGATCATACATATAATAGATTAACCCGTCGTTTGCCGGACCGTAGATCTACGCGAGACACAATGCATTTTCTATTGTGTCTTATATACCGGCAGTCAAGAGGTTAAAGGTCCTATAATACGAATATATCGTGGCTACCAACTATGGATATGGCCATACTTACATAATGTCAAATGTATAATACCGGTTATGGTAAACAAAATACGAAATAACGTAACATATTGAAAATATTACATTATACCAACTAAGTACCTGACTCTTACTAAATACGAGTAATCTTATCAGCCTTTTATTAATTTATACTTCCTATATAGACAAATGGCTGCGGAACACTATTACCTGGCATAATATATAGTGATACAATAATATAATAAACTAAATGGACTATAAATCCAATACCAAATGATGGATGTGAATGTTTTTATCTCACACTCGCTCGTATTTAGTTAACCCAGTTGCAGATATACCATATAAATTATCTTTGCAAAGAATTAAGGTGTGCTCATATAGAAAAGTTAAGAAAATAATTATATACCTCTAAAATAAGTATTTAAAATAATTGCTTGCTCAATGTATTCTTGTAGTTCATTATATTTCTGGAATATCCTTACTAAATCGGAAAGTGAGTTTGTTTGTTTGTTCCGCTTTCACGCCGTAAAGACTAAACCGATTGCTTTGAATTTTTGCAGACATAAAGTTAGAAGTCCGGATTAAATAATAGGGTACTTTTTATCCCGGAAAAATTTGATATTCTCGAGGAAAAACGAAATCATTGGTATAGATGGCGCTGTGTGTAGGTATATGTCACATAGGCTACTTTTTATCATTTTGTGACGCGAGCGAAGCCGCGGGTAAAAGCTAGTACTTTGTATAGAAAAAAAAACGTTTCATGTAGAAGCTAAAACTTTATGCAAAAATGAAAGACTACAGTTATGCTCCGAAATAGTTAGCTAGAAACGGTATATCAGACATTTTAGATTAACACTGTCGTTTGAATGTTTTACAAGTGACCCATTTACCAGAAAAAAAATATAAATAAGTAATTTATCATTCAATAGGAATCACTAACAAATCTCTCATGTCAAACAACACGATGAGATGTTGTACACAACGCTATACATCGAGCTTTACATAACCAGTATAAACTGAACGTTAAATGTGCGGAAAGATGATGCGACGCGACACCAGGATAAACTGGTTTTGTATAGATTGATGGGTGGCCGTGTGTACATACTGTTGATTAGTTTCTACACTCGGGAGCAAACAAATGGAGTCACTAGCGTGATTTCTTTTTCAGTTCTTGACAAATATTTTCCAATACAAGTAGTAAAGGCAATTTAGCTACCTTTAAAATGAAGACTGCCTCATTGGCCGAGTGGTCGCAAGTGCGACTGCCGGGTAAGGGGTCTCGGGTTCGATTCCCGGGTCGGGAAAACTATTACTGAAGTTTTAAAAAAAATCTCAGTAGTAGCACGGAGTCTGGAATAGTGCCCGGTATATGGCAATAGGCTCCCCCCTATTACATGGGACTCATAACATAAATAGTAAAAGTGGGTGTTACATTGTACAGTAGCATTATCTAAATGCCGTAATGTGCACCTCTGCCTAGCCCTTCAGGGAAGGAGGCGTGATGTTATGTTAAAATATGTAAAATGAAGACATTTTTTTGTGAAAGGATTTTTTATAGAAGGTTCGATAAATTGATGGGTTCGATAAATTCAAAAAATATATGTACTAAGGTACAGGCTCGGCCTAGTTCAGATGTCAGTATTCATAAACTGTGTGTCAAATGTTTTTGTTATAATAAATACTTTTTACTTTATTATTATTATACTAGTGGATCCATTTCTTTGCTCTCAAGTGTGTTTAAATGAAAAAAATAATAAATTTGAGAATGAGAACTTTATTCGAGTATCGAGGATCAAAAGGACTATATTTCAATGGCAAGTATTTAATAAATTTAACTGTAATTACCTACACACAAAAGTTAATTAAAATTAGTAATTTAATCCATCCATTAACCAAACCAACTTTTTGGCATACAATTTAATTATACAGTTTAGTAAATATGTCAAGCTATAACCAGTAACAGAACAGAATTAAATTACTCTTACATCAATTAGTGTCGTCGCCTAGTATATAGGACACTCTTTTAGTTTAGCTGCCAAAAGATAACAATTTCCAAAGCTTTGATTTATTAATGGCCACGAAACTATAATAGATATTTGTGGACACGACTTTACTGTGTCCGGACCGGGATTTACGAGCGGGAGTCAATGAACTCAGCTCCGTTTAAGGCTACCGTTCAATATGCACTACCTGACTATTAGGCATACATCGTTCTTTCCGGACTATATAAACATTTATTGAGACCATAAAACTTGCAGAAATCTTGTTTTGTATTCACAATGATCCATTTCTTTCCATAGAGTTTTATTTTTTGTTCTCAGAATAGTCTCTTCGGTTATTTGTATATTGACTTGTCTATTTGGATCCAAGACGAATGGGCTATTGAAAAGTTTTAAATCAAAAATACTTTCTGGGAGAGAACAAACTTGTGTCTACTTTGTGTTTTAGTGAAAGTATTTCTGGCTGTATGTGTGTAAATGTGTTTATAATGTTGAAACTTGGGATTAATAGCACCTACATAATAATAACTAATAGTTATAGCTCATTATCAGTTGACATGCATTAATAATCGAATTTTACGTCGCCGGCCGGCCGCACACGCGCCGTTGAAATAAATCAAAATCGCATTCGAGAACAAAGCTCGCACCGGCGAGATGAGAGGGGTGCGCACCCCAGCTGCGTACTGCGATCGATCTGTGGACCACTCCGCTCCGGCGGTACCCGACACATTGTCTGTCAATGCGGCTCTAACATCATACGTCTGACAGTGTCGCGCTATAAAATAATTTAAATTGTGTTTTTAATTAGTGTTATGTTTTAATTTTTTTATTTTGAACGATGGAGGGGCGGAGGTCTTGGGATGGAGTGCCTTTGGGCGAGTCACATTCTCCACCACAGTCCGTACCGGGCCGCAGGACGCCGCTGGGAGCCGTGGGCCTGGGCGGCTTCTACATGCAGGGTGGCCAGCCTCCGCCGCCTCCACAGCATTGCTACCCGGCAGATGAGAACCAACCCGAACCAGGCACGAGCTATGGACAAAGGTAAGTCTACCAACATACATACTGCCAATCCTACTGCACTTAGTTGCAAACTCTGTATATCATTAAGATCTCCAGCCTAAATACATAATATTGGTATACATTTCATTCCCATCCGGCTTTTTTAAATGGCCGAATTTCTGTTTGTAAGCAAAAGCAGATGTTTTTTCGCGCATGCGCTGTTTTCTCGAAGCAAAAAAAAAACTTGCATTTCCACGAATTCGCCTGAGGGATTGATTTTATGCGCTTGGGAAGGCGTACCTAGGTACTATTTATAGATAACTATAACTTTGTAGGTGCAGAATCAATAAAATATACCTATAGTACTTACATGTCCTCGTATAAGACCTACCTGCATTAAATTACTTCAATTTAACAAAGATTATTTCTTCTCCAACTTTTATTACGTATATGCAATTTGTATCAGTATTAAAATAATAATCCAAATAGTCTATTACTTTAAAGACGAGACTGTAGACACTATCCATCATTAGTACTGACAAACAGTAGTATCATCATATAGGATGCAAGCCTACCGCTAGACACCGGCCACGATTACAGATTGCATGTTAATTTGAACGAATATTTGTGAATATAAAGAAATAAACAATGCACATGAAAAATAGAAACCTAATTATCTTCATTGATGCCAAAATAATCAAACCATCCAAAATCCAGATTTTTCCCATTTAAATATTAAGAATAGTTTGTGATTGTAATTGTAAATTATAAAAAAAATATAAAAAAAGTTAAAAGTATATTAACAATAAAAAATTACTCGTGAGGTAGTATAAATAAATAAATAAAATAAAATACATTTATTTCAGGTGATCATAACCCATATTATTTATATTGTTAATCAGACAAATAAGTTAAGATACAATTATTTTATTTAGGTAATTTACACAACACACAGGAATTGAATTTGTATAAAAATAAAATTAAAATAAGTAAATCAAATTAAAATAAAATAAAAACAAAAATTACATCAAAAATAAAATTAATATAAACTTAATAAAGTGTAGTTAACCCATTTCCTTCCTATTTATTATTTTTGTATCAAAAAATTAAACAATGATAATAGTTAGATAACCAAGCCTAAAAAACTAAAATACGTCTAAAAAACCCACACATTTTAAATGACAACACCACATATGGCAGAAATAGTGCAAAAACCGTATCACTATTCATACCGTATTTGTGTGACAGATGCACACATGTTCACTGTAAGTCTATAATCAGAGTAACACCGGCACTTTTAGAGCCATCTGTGCACAATAGGGTATATTGTTCAATCCTCCCCTACGACAAGTACTTTAGCTACCGTTGACCGCGATAGTAAATGTGTTTACACGGTTCAAGTTTAGACGCGTAGACCATGCTGATTTTCTGCCAAAATTAGCTAAACCTATGTATTAAATGAAACAAAATCACAAAATTTCAATTCATCTTCGGGTATACTGAACATATTTGAGATCATTTCGGTACAACGAAAGTTTGAGACTCGGAAAATGACGCCTGATAGTTTTCATCCTCTGTACCTATTTGATTAGAATTCAAATGAAGTTTTAATCACTGAAACCCCACGGGAATGGATACTATACGGGTAAAATCCCCGTGGGATTGTTTTTAACCTTGTAGAAGTTTAATAAAAAAATCCAAAAATTGCCAGAAGTCATTATTATACGCGGACGAAGTCGCGGGGAACAGTTAGTCGGGTATAAAGTTGTGATAATTGAGTGTATGTCTTGTACTCATTTTTCTTCAAAACGTCTTGACCAACTTTGATTTTAAAGGTCTTAAAAGGTTCTTGCGACCAATCATGTCTTATGATTCGTATAGACAATATTCGAAGTTTTTGTAATAACTATCGTGAGACATACTAAATTAACTAATGCTGCTGCTCATGAGGAAGAACCCCTCTGTGGTTCGAAACTAGTAGAGCTTTTCTCAGTATATTCACGTGAGTAACCAGCGATTTTAGTTAATATTCGAAGTGTTTAACATAATATGGCAAAAAATTGTTTCACCCTTTCAGTACCTATACTAGCTTTGTGAAAAGATTATGTTACGATACGATGGTATCATGCCCAAACTATTTGCGTTAAAGCATCCATGAATCAAAGCAGACCAAGTGTAACAAATCACATTGAATTCCGTTTTAACATTTGAGAACATTTCAAAGCTATTATATTTAGCATAGTTTATACAGATCCAAAATAAACGGACGATTACCTCATTTATTGTTCACAAAGGAACATAAATACACAACAGGTATACATTTCACTTGGAGCAAATGTTTGACACTGTAATTGCAAATGCATTAATAGGCGCAATCCCAGACACCCACATAATGTAAACATATAGGTAGGTATATATATAAACATAAACCTGACCATTTTATGTATCATAAACCTGAATTAGAATGCATATATTTAGCTAATATTGATTCTAAGTCTCTTCGATGTAAATATACAGTGATGTATCAAAGGAAATCGCTCTAAATACTATCCAGAAGCTGTAATCCTGGAATTTATAACTTTACTACAAAAGTGAATTGGAATGTTAAGATTCGCTTAAGCTGTTTACTTACAGTATTAGTCTAAGATCCGGCTGCAGAATCAGTGTACCAATCGAGTGTTTGCTGAAAACCAAATTTTTACACATATTCATGATTAGGAGAATTAATATCCACTAGGTTGCCTATCAAAATGTGGCCGCTAGTATTTTTAATTAAATTATTAATAATTCATAATCCGTAAGAAATTTCATTGACTTTTTTTTTCAATGAAATGTCGTCTACTTTACGGCAACATCTATAAAGACTCTGAAAAATTATGGTTGCCGTTGCGCACCTGGCCGCACCTCTTCGCAGCCAGGTATACACAGGTATGAATTTGTTACATTTATACACCCACAACGTACATTTATAATTTATATATCAAATTAAAGCAAATTTTTTTCTGTATTATATTATATACGGTTGCTTAATTAAATCTGGCCGCCAATAAGGGTTGCTGGCTAATAAATATAGTAAATATTAAAAGTAGAGTGAAAGAGAGCTAGCGCGTAACACCACTAGTCAGACGAGGATAGCGATTGCCAGCTGTCGGACGGTTTAAAGCCATTGCGCATGCGTCAGATTTAACATTTTACGTGCCTTATGTATGGACTCCCAAAGTGCCAAAGTGTAAATGCCGCAAGATTTTTATTATTCAACAAAATGTACGCTTCAAAAGGAAGTAGTGAGAAATTTATGAGAAGAATTAAAGGTTTTGACTCAACGCACATTCCACCATGCTGGAAATCTTTAAAGGAAAAATTATTGCGAACCATCTTTGTTAATTCGATGTGGTTAAATGCTACTGAGCGGGATTGCATCAAGTTCAGCGCGGAAAATAATGGCTGGCTGCTGTTAGATGGTTTTTTAAAACCAACATGGTTCCTGGGAGATCTAACTCCAGCGCAAGTTGAGAATGTGCTGTGTGATTCCACGAACAAGCCTTCCGATAATAACGACGATACCGATATTTCTGATGAAAGTGATAGCTGCGATGATAGTGTGACTGAGAGCTCCGATGATTCAGATTTTTAAAAAAGAGTCATGGAAGTATAATACAAATATAATACATTTTAAAAATGTATAATTTGCTTAAACTGATGATTGATGAATATGTAAAATAAATGTAATACTTGAATAAAATTAAATCTTTTTTCGTACAGTACTTGTATGTACAACACAATTTTTTTACATAAGTAACCTTGATTTTATTTATCATCAATATTCATTTTTTTTTTGTAATTTTTAAATTTGTCGTTGACTTTTTATTTTTTTAATTTAGAAAAGAAAGACGTTTCTTTTGGAGTATTTATTATTTTGAGTCGTACCTAGTGACTAGTGGTGTTACGCGCTAGCTCTCTTTCACTCTACTTTTAATATTTACTATATTTATTAGCCAGCAACCCTTATTGGCGGCCAGATTTAATTAAGCAACCGTATATAATATAATACAGAAAAAAATTTGCTTTAATTTGATATATAAATTATAAATGTACGTTGTGGGTGTATAAATGTAACAAATTCATACCTGTGTATACCTGGCTGCGAAGAGGTGCGGCCAGGTGCGCAACGGCAACCATAATTTTTCAGAGTCTTTATAGATGTTGCCGTAAAGTAGACGACATTTCATTGAAAAAAAAAGTCAATGAAATTTCTTACGGATTATGAATTATTAATAATTTAATTAAAAATACTAGCGGCCACATTTTGATAGGCAACCTAGTGGATATTAATTCTCCTAATCATGAATATGTGTAAAAATTTGGTTTTCAGCAAACACTCGATTGGTACACTGATTCTGCAGCCGGATCTCGTACTATATGTATCCGACTGGTAACATGAAATCAATTATGTGCAAATGTCTGTTACCAAGCAAAAACTACTGGACTGATTTTGAGTTGCAAGTTTAGCAGTTGACAAGATTCATGTAAGCAATTATGTATTACTTACTTTTGATCAACGCTACGCACTTCAACTCTAAATATCAGCATAGCTGCTAATACAGCGGAAAAAGCAAACGGTGTTTCATTAAATATAAGAAATCTTCCGTCACAGAAAATTGACGGGAACAGCTTGCGTTGTGTTTCGTGTGAGTGAGGTTACCGGAGCCCAATTACCCTCCCCCCCCCAATTCCTCAGTCTCCCCAATCCCTATATCTCCAATGATCCTCAAAATTTTTGGAATTTTCCTCAAAAGGCCGGTAACGTACCTGTAACGCCTCTGGCGTTCCGGATAGCGCGACGTCAATTTTTTATCATCAGGTGATTCGTCTGCTCGTTTACCGGCTTAGATACCAAAAAAAATAATAATTACAAAATTCAATATTTTTTATCTCTAAACATCAAACCACACAGTTAAAGAACGAGTGCATAATATGATTAGTATTTGCTGTCCAAATCTTTGCCCCCCTTGATAGGGTAGCCCCTCGTTAGCGACATACAATCCCATTCATAGAGTACAAAGAGTATTTGCCACTTGTTTCGCTCTGTCTGATGCGAACCCCTATCGAATGGAAACTAAGGGGTCCCCACGCCATACGCAATCGTACCCACGAGTTTTATACCTTGACAACATTATTTCAACGCCATTTTTAAATCTGGATGACTGACCGCTTTATTGATTTTGAGTTTAATAAAATAATAATATCTTATCGATTATTATTATTTCTCGAAGGGTGTAACGGCGCAAGTCATTTTTATAACTCATATTTTGAGTTCTATTTTATAGAAAGACAGCCTCCATCGTCCGAAATCCGTGCTAACTAATATTTGTTGAAAATTATTAATAATGGACAATCTCTTCCTAAGTAACTTGGACACTGAATTGAAAAATGATCTACTATTATCAAACAGTTCCATCACAAAAAGCTATCAGTTTTAAGGGTTAAGAATAGACCAAACACTTAAAGTTAGAAATATTCACATCAATAAATTCTCAATTTAATTACAACATTCAATGGTATTACGTAACATAATAAATTATTACACTTCCTATTGAACAAAATGTTAGATAATAATACAATTTACAACCCTATAAAGTACATTTATATTACAAACTGCAGTTGGCTCTGAAATTCTGGTCTAAATATAGGTTTAACGCAGTCCGTAATCAAATAATATTCACGATAAATTTGGGTCTAAAATTAACTAAATAGTGCATAAATTACAGAGCTATCAACGATTCCAAGTCAAAACAGAAGATGCGCCAAGGGAAGAATGTTCGGCTGAATATAAACGCGAGGGAGAGACGCCGCATGCATGATCTGGTAATTATATGTCATCGTCATATTTAATTTGATGTTAACAACACAGTAATATGTTACAATAACATACAAAGTATATGATACTTCTTATTATGTAATGCAAGAATCAATCTTAACCAAATTCTTTGCTAGAGACTGTATTTCCTGAAGGGTATAATAACCTGGGAGTCTTCAAGGCCCGAGTGAATAGGTTGCTTATGGGACGACGCACTCCATCGTAGACCGCATCATCCACCGACCCAGGCGAGATAGTGGTCAAAGGTCGGCCCATCAAATATAAAAAAAAACTTAGGAAAACGAAAGTAATTCCACTAAAGTTTTTTGACCTAAGGGTTACTGATACCTACTAGACTCGTAGGTGTAGCTGCCAAGACTTGGATGTAATCACTTCTAAAAAGACCTATCACTATTAATAATAATGTCGTTGATTCAGACTACTTATCGGATAAGAAGATAGAAATGGGGATTGTCTTACACTCCCTAAAACAAAGAAAATCAAATTCCCAATATCGTTTCCAATTTGTGTTACGATAAATAAGTACCTAATATGCACCTATTCATAGCTGCCCTTAACCCAACACGTTCCAAACAAGAGCTATCTCAAAACCATTACTCCTAGACCAATATAGAATCCCATTTCTGTTTGAGTATGTAATTGTGCAACTGAATTTCTAGGAAACTGATCATTTGTCGAACGTTACATAATTTGTGTTTGTTATTTCAGAATGATGCATTAGATGAGTTGCGAGGAGTGATACCGTATGCTCACTCACCGTCTGTCCGCAAACTGTCCAAGATTGCAACTCTACTGCTCGCCAAGAACTACATCCTGATGCAGGCTAGTGCGTTGGAGGAGCTCAGAAGGTAACCACGTGTTAACTGCAACGTATGCCGACCTGTTTAGTTTCCACATCATTTTACATAAACTCCATCACACCTTGGTCTCGTGGACAATCCCATAATGTTCTTTGTCTAAGAAATAGGAATACTTTCTCCCTTATAATACCTAATATAACTACTGCATTCGGCCTTCGGGTTTGTCACTACGGCCAGCACGTTATAACAAATATATTTAATGAAATATTTCTTGTTTACAGATTAGTTGCGTACCTCCAGAGTACAGCTACAGCTGCGGGTATCGTGCCACCTCCAGGCTTTGACCTCACCGGGTTCCCAGCAGCTGCGAAACTCCTGCAAGGGCCCATCCCAGGCCCACCTCCGCCCCCCGAGCCGCCATCTTGAGATACAACCATCAAACTAGAGCCCTAAACACTAGGGCTCCTAAGATAAATCAGTCCATACAATATAGACTGATTGAAAGATTGAGTGTTTAAATTATATGTATACCTTATTTTTTCTGTATCGTCTGGACTGCTCGTTACATTTCTATTTACAATAACATTATTATTTTAACCTTCATAATACTCTTGATAACATTTTAGGAATAAGATTTACGAATAGATCTCAAAATTAGTTTGTAAGTTATGTACATAATTCAATACTTAATGAATGCGAAACCATCGATATGTATTACCTGTAAGTGATTTTTGAACCATTGCACATTGCGGATATAACAATCGTTCATTGTCAACCGAAATCTGTTACTAAAACTTGTACTTATCTTGTGATATCGAGCGCCAAAAATTTCCATAGCACAATAGGAAGGTAATTTCAAAACTATCGCTCAATAATGCTCAAATATTCATGTGTTGGTTATCTTTGAGAAATACTTTGAGGAAAACGTTATCACAGCAAAGTTTTTCGTAGAAAATTACTGCTTTTTTTCAAGAGAATCGCAACCTAATTCAGCGGGCTTTCCTTCTGCAGTTAGCACATTTTTAATAGTTTATTTGTGTGTGTAATTTAGTTAGAAGATTTGTTTCGTAAACATCGTAATTTTGGAATATTTACGACGGATACTAAGAACTTTTATTGTAATTTTCTTATGAGAAGTCGTTTGCAAGATTAAAAATTCGTTTAAAAAATCTTAAATAAACAAAAGAACTTGTTCATTCAACCAAAACATTCAGATGTCATACCTACACCTATAAAATACGGGTTTTATGAAAAGTAAGTAGACCTATATCATATATTCAATACAAATACTTCTTCGACATGCATTAAAATTTTAATGGTAAGATAGTTCCATTAGTATAGTATAAATTATTGATTTAAATATTATGTACATACATAGAGTAGTGTTTTACATATAATTTAAATTTGAGTATTGCTTAAGTTATTTTTATTTGTATTAATATATTTTTATATTATACTTCTTTTTTATATTTGCATGCCAATATTATGAACAAATAAGAACTAACATAACTACATTTGAAAACAGAACATTGGGCACACATTTTTTTTATCATTTTAGTCGTCACCAATAAAAAGTTTCATCACAAAAAAGGTCAAATTTTCTTGAATTTTGCTCAAAAAGGATTTTTTGTGTTTGTTGACATGCTCAGTTTATATTGATTAGGATTCCCTTATATTATTCATAATTAAGATAGATAAATATATTTTCTCTAAAATTAGGGTAATTAGATATAAGTTTTCTCTGTGAGTAATCCAGAGAACAAAAAAGATTAATGTGCCAAAGAAAAAAGTAGATTTGTATCATAAAATAGATTATAAGTAGTTTCTATTACAATAAGGTATTAATAATAGAATATAATAGTAATAGTAGTACTAATATAGATTTATAAGTTTTTACTTTCCCTAAATTTAAATTGACTTCGCTTGAATTAATTGCTCAATATATATTATTATATTGCTCAAAATTGCTCACTTCTTATGTATTATGTTGCTCAATATTGCTCATAATTTACTTATAGCGCAAAAACATACTTCTATATTTGTGTTTTCTATATTCTTCAGCGTGTTAAACAGTTTCACCCTTTTTTTATTTCGGAAAATGAATTTTATTAAATATTAAATTGTGCATAATTGATTTTATACATCCAAAAATATTTTTCGTGTATTTTTCGATCATAATATATATTCAAAATTATATAATAAAGCTGGTATATGCTGCTTTTATTTATTTATCTTTTTTAATTGGCAGATTTGTCCAACTATTTATTTTTTTGATATATTTATAGTAATTACTTTTATGTCTAGGTTTAGGAAGATACATTATTTATTCAACGTAAGGGAGAATTGTAAATATAGAAACTCAGTAAAATCTGAGGAAATGAAGAAGTGCATGTGCCAAAAATTAGTAGATCTGTATTTTATTCAAACGTAAACTACCTTAGATTTACAATTTTAATTAAAATTAAACACAGTTTAGAGTATATAACTACAATATTTAGGTACATAAGTAGATTAAGTTAGTTTATTTAAAGGTCTCACGGTCTTCCAGAACTAATTGAATTGTTTATTTATTATTTATTATTAATTTTTGACTGTCAATAGAAATGTGTTGAAGGCAGATCTTCCGCCGCTTACGTCGATCACCATGGCGTTTAACATGTTAATACAATTCGAAATCTAGCAAATGTTAATTTACAGATACAATACTGAAATAAAAAATGGATTAACTTTCAAAAACACAGCAAAGCACTTTTGTCTTAACATTCCAAATTATTTTTAGTTATTATGAAACCAAAATTCTATTTTTACCAATAGATTAAGGTAGGTTATAAGATAATAAATGTACATATAATGAAACATGTGGGCGCAACAAGCACAGTATTACTAGAGTAGATTTGTATATATTTAGACAATTTACTAAATATTATTAATAAATAGGATAAGAGATAAAACTCGTAGAATAATTTGTGTTCCGTTTAGTATTTTCATTTTATTCCAAAACATTTCAGAAAAAACGCAGCAACACTACTATCGATTTATACAAAACAAAATCAATTGTTAATTTATTTTTTAATATACCTACAGGGTGATATTTTGTAATGCCTAAAGGGGAAGTACTCTTAATACTTAAGATAGAACATTTTACTCAAAGAAAACATTGCTTTATTTTTGAAAAGAAAGAAATCTGCATTCAAAAATTTTTAAAATTTGCTTGCCGCACATGGTAATCGAACCGACTAAATTCTATAAAAGTTGCACCCTGTCCATTTATTGCATCGATTGTTAAGGTCAATAAGGAAGAAATTGTTCTAATAAACTTCATAAATTTAATGAAAGAAAAACAATGAACGATCAATGCAATAAAAGTACAGGGTGCAAAGTTTGACAGATTTTAGTCGGTTCAATTACCGAGTGAGGTAAGCTACTTTTTAAAAATTTTGAATGCGGTTTTGTTTCTTTTTAAAAAATAAAGGGAGTTTTCTTTGGATGAAATTTTTTATCTTTTGTATTAAGAGTAGGTACTTCCCCTTCAGGTGGCATTACAAAATTCCACCCTGTATACGGTACCTATTCAAAAAACAATTGCAATGGAACAGATATACATAAGTTCAAGACCGATTTACAATCCGTTTAAAAATCGCTGAATAAAAAAATAGACAAAAATAAATCTTAATAACTTTTTGGACAGACTTCGAAATTTCAAATTTACCTTTCAATATAAAGTATCTTCCAACTCAATTTTAGGATTTTTTTTATAAATATATTTTACACTAAAAAGAACCTACATTAAAATTTCAGGAAAATTTATGGAGCATACATTTGCCAAAATACAGTAGATCTGTGTTTTTTAGGAACTAGGCTGTATAGCGTACAAATTTAATTTAAATATAGTAGAAATACAGATTATATATTTTAGTGTAGGTAGTTTTCGAATAATGTCTACTGTCTTCCAAAGTTACATTCTTTTTTTTAATTTTATATTTCAATTTACAATATTAAACATCAAAAATTACTTTCCAAAAAATTAAAAAATTAAGTTCTTTGTGGGTTTTATATATAATTTTCTGGAAATGTTTAATAAATGTCAAATAAAATCTGACTGTTGCAGTCAGATTTAAATTTTCGTTAAAAAAGTCGAAGTAAAATTACAATTGCTGACGTAAAAAAAATTAATACTATCCTAATTTTTCAGGCCAGTTGAGCACTCTTGAACATTTACGATAGCAAAGCGTGTATTTTAATTTACACACTATCCACTGATGCATTTACATATTGCCTATTGAAATTTCATATTAAAAAAAATCTCATATTATTTCACAAGTTGGAGGAAAAAATTGACAATCGGTATTAGTACTTACTCGGACGTTTTGGAGGTAACATAAGTTAAATAATAATCATAGTCCTGTACATATAACGATGAAAGGAAATAAGAGGTCACAGAAAATAAACATAGGTTTGTATATAATAGTACAATTATAGAGTATACATAATATAACATTGAGTCTAGAACGGTAAATATGTAGGTAAGTTAGCATAAAGCAATTCAGGGCATTAGGTATAAGAAATCTGTACATATAATGAAAAAGATTGGTCACATCCTAAGATAGATATAATAAGTAGTCTTGTAAATAACAGAAATAATTATTTATAGTTAAAAGAATAAATATATAATAAAATAGTAGTATAAGATAATAAATAAGTATGTACTTAAGTTATTATATTAAATAAGTATAATTTTAGGAATATAAATAATATATTTGTACAAATGTACAGATATAATAATTTTATATTTGCGGTAATTCTAAAATTAAGAGTATATAAATTATATTGAAATTAAATAGTAGGTACTGTAAATACGGCCTCTGTGAGTATTCTAGAGAGTCAAATTGTAAAGTGATGATCGAAAAATATTAGATTTAAAAAAGAGTAAAATATAAGTAAGATAAACTAGTGTAAACTAGGTCGTACTTAAATAGTGAATGAGTTTTAATTATTGGAATGATTAAATTTATATTATTGGAAAAGTATCATTTTGATGCAATATTTATAATCAAGTTTTAAGCAAAAAAAGTAATATAATTATTATTACATCCATTAGAGCTGACCATTTATAAAAAGGAGAAGCCTTCGCTCCATATCCCATAAAACTTAAATAGATTTTAGTTTTTTTATTAAAACCGACAAGTCGTCATTCCAGATTGCCATCTCGTTCAACAAAACAACAACTAAGAACTACTATTGTTCTCTTTGTTATTTGTTTATATTTTACAGATTCGTTTGCCAATCGGCAAAGGCCTCCTCCGACTTTATCCATTCGTATAGCAATAATACACTCTAAATTTTCTTAAATCACTTCTAAAATATACACCAAATAATAAAGAAAGTTAATTAGATACGATACGACCTTCAAACTTTCAAAAAAAGAGGTGTTCATGGGCGGCGCTGATCGCTGAAGTGAGTAGACGCATCAGCGTCTGCTTGTTTGCTTCCTGTTCCATAAAAATGTCTTATTTTTTCGTCGTTTAAAAATTTCTTTTCAATCACATAAACACTTCATGAAAAATCCATTACTATTTAAATACGACCATAAATAGGATACTTAAGTAATGTAAATATTTCTCAGGTACCTTATGGTACTAATTTGCCATTGGCTTGAATACAAATTAGAGTTGTAATATAATAATATAACTTCATTTAATTTTATAAGTTCGTTATACTATAGGATAGGTTCTAATTAGGCTGAGTCATGAGTACAATTAGCTATTGAAGAAGTCTGTTTTCTTCTTGCCCTTATCTAAAGCTTCGTAAGGTATGCAAAATATAGTCTTATGGTCTATTCTGTATTATTAAACGCCATCCTGTTATGAAGTATTTCGATTTATTTTTCATACAGCCTATACATTTACATTTTTTGTTTCTTGAATATTTCCAGTGTTTGAAAATGTATTTTTGAAATACATAAATAATAATTATTTTTTTCAGCTTACTAGCTGATTGTACTCAGAAGGCTATATACGATAAGGATTGTATATTTAAAATTCCCAAACAATGTTGTACTAATGTTAGAACTGACTTGTTCTTTAAAATTCTGTGAGCTATCCAGAAGGCTAGAACAAGTCAAGTTAAGTTAATTAGGTTTAAATTAAATTCTTCTTTTTAAACCAAGCCGTAAAAAGATAAGCCGTAAATTGAAAAAAGTAATTTGAACATAAAAATAAAATAGGTACAAAATCCACAAAATCACTTTTCAATTGCCAATAAGCTTTAGAAACCTAAATTAAAAACTTTAAGTACACCAGTTTATTTTATTTTTACACTATTTATATCAATTAATTAATATTATTGAAAAC